TCTTGGTTCTAAATTTATCCTGAATATGAACATAACATACTGAACCAAAAACTCTAAAATAAGCAACTGAAGGTCTTACATTGTATAGCAGCTCAAATGGTGTTCTCATGTTAATCACCCTTGACGAAAACCAATTAACCACATGACAAGCACATTGCATAGCTTCAGCCTATAATTCCTATGGTAAATTCTTGGCATGAAGCCAGCTCCAACTGACTTCTTGCAAGTGTTTCAACTTCCTTTCTGCAACTCCATTTTGTTGCGATGTTCCAGTACACATCATTTGCCTTCTTATGTCATGCTCTTCACAGAAATCAATAAACTCATTGGTGATATACTTAGTTCCATTATCAGTTCTAAAACAACCGATTTTACTTTGGAACTCTGTCTCAACAATTCTTTTGAACCTCTTGAAATATGTAAAAGTCTCATACTTTGCTCTCATGAAATACACCCAAGTGAACCTGGTGTAATCATCGACAAGAACTAGCATATAATAAAAATCACTATAACTTGCTATAGGACACGTCAGCAAATCAGAAAGAATTAGTTACAAAGGCTTCTTAGACTTTATTGAGGACTTCCCAAAAGGTAAACGATGAGTCTTTTCATATTGGCAACCCTCACAAACAATGTCCTAACAAAAATTTCCTAAATTTGGAAGCCCATCAACCAGGTTATTCGCAAAAATTTCCTTTAACTTTTCGTAACCAACATATGTCAATCGAGCATGCCACAGAGATGCATTATCTTGTTTGCTAGTTTTCTCAACGTAAACATCACTAGTTGACAAGACATAAAGGGACTTAACCCTTTTTCTTTCCAACAAAATATCAGCCTTCAGATTTCGAATGTTGGACAAGACTTTAAAATTATCCGAACCAAATAGAACATATTTCCCTGAATTAGAAATTTGAGAAATAGAAACAAGATTTTTAGTCATACTGGAAACATGGTAGACATTGTTGAGAGTAACACAACCAACATTCGATGCATTAACTTTGACCATGCCTTCATTTTTTACTGGGCGAATAGAGTTGCCAGCCGTCACAATTGCATCCTGCCCCTTATATTCTTGCAAACTTGAAAACAACGAATCAACTCTCGTTAAGTGGTGAGAACAACGAGAATCAGTTATCATGTCCTTCTTGTAATCAATACTCGTACTCGCAGTGGAAGAAATCAGTACCGGTTCTCTTGACATTTTTCTTGTATCTAGGACTTCAGTGGATAAACAATTATCCCACTCGCAGTTTCCAGAAGGCTCCCCACTTCCGTGCTTGGAAGTGCTAACATTGCCCTCAACCATTACTATCTTGCAATATTTCTTAATACGCCCAGGTTTACCACACCTTTAACAATCAAAAACCTTTTTGAATCTGCCTTGAGAACCACCTCCTTGATTTTTCATTTCTTGATCCTTTTGAGGTTTGCCCTTCCAATTTGTGTTTTGCTNGTGCTAACATTGCCCTCAACCATTACTATCTTGCAATATTTCTTAATACGCCCAGGTTTACCACACCTATAACAATCAAAAACCTTTTTGAATCTGCCTTGAGAACCACCTTCTTGATTTTTCATTTCTTGATCCTTTTGAGGTTTGCCCTTCCAATTTGTGTTTTGCTCCCTCGAATTTTTCTTCTTCCAACTGTTGTCTTGCTACTGATCGTTTTTCCAATTGTTGCCTTTCTGTTGATTGTTCTTCCAATTGTTGCCTTGCTGTTGATTATTCTTCCAATAGTTGTTTTGCTGCTGGCTGTTCTTTCAATTATTTCCTGCAAATAATGCCTCATCTTTTCCAGAAATTGATGCACTCATCATTTGCTTGGCTAAAGCCTCTTGATTAACAAGCAAATTTTTCAACTCAATAATACTAGACTGTGTTGCCCAACCTTGAATGGATGTCAAGAAAGGCATGTACTCCTTTCTTATCCCTNAATGTATTGCCCAACCATGAATGGATGTCAAGAAAGGCATGTAATCCTTTCTTATCCCTCGAATAAGATATCTATGTAATCTAGATTCACTAACAGGCTCCTTTTTATCAATCTCTGAAATTTCAGAACATATGCTCTTTATTTTCTGAAAATATTGAGCAACAGACATATTACCTTGAGTAGTGTTGACTAACTCATTCTCAAGCATTTGAAGTCTAGTCGTGTGCCTCTTTGTAAAGAGTTGTTCCAGCAACTTCCAAATCTCATTTGGCTTCTCCTTGGCTCGAATATATTCAATCAACTCTTTAGAAATGGAACCATGTAAGGCAAACAATGCCTTTTCACATTTTATCTTCCATTTCCTTCGAGCTTCAGCATTCTCCGATGTATTTGTAGGCATTTAAGAGTCACCTCCATTGACTTTATCCCACAAACCTTGCACTTGAAGATAAGCCTCCATACAGAGCTTCCAACACTAGTAATTGGAGTTATTCAGCTTCTCCACACCAAACTGGTTTAAAGAACCACCGTTGACGTCCATTAAGGCAATGAACTAATCAACAAAAATATACTTCTCATGTCCTACTTTCACGGTACTTGCACCGAGCCCTTAATACAGCTCTGATACCAACTTGAGAGAATCACACTCTCCAATAATGCAGCTAGAACCCTAGGCTACACATCCAAGACCATTGAAGAATTAAAGGTTAGAACAAGAAGAACAATTAGAACCAACACTCATATAGGAGAAAAAACACTGGAACTTTTATTTCATAGTACTTCTCATTTCACTCTCTACAAGGATACACACACAATGACTCAAAATACTTCTAGAATTTATAGGACACTCCTATCATGTACTTAGACAAGTAGATTCATGAATGACCCTCAGACTCCATACATGAATATTACTAATGACTCTTGAATTTAACAAAAGACTCTTGAACTACATTCATGTACCAAACCATGTACATGAACCGTGTGTGAAAATACTAAATTAAACTAATAAAGTTAGCACAACTTTCAGCATAGGGGACGTTACAAAGGCTTAAGGGTCTGTATTGGTGAACTGTATTGGTTTCTGGGGATTTTTGTTTCTAATTAACTCGGTGATTATATGACCTCCTACAAAAAAAACTCCTCATTGTGGCTACTAGATCTTTCCCAATTATATATCAGTAAGTTTTNGGTCTGTATTGGTGAACTGTATTGGTTTCTGGGGATTTTTGTTTCTAATTAACTCGGTGATTATATGACCTCCTACAAAAAAACTCCTCATTGTGGCTACTAGATCTTTCCCAATTATATATCAGTAAGTTTTGTAAATGACTACTGGCATTCTGTTAGGGCCAGGAGCCTTAAAGGGTGGCATAGCAAATAGACTTGTTTTGATTTCCTCAGCTGTGTAGAGGAACTGTGGATGACAAAAAAAAGGGAAGAGACATTTCCCAGCTTCCTGCACCTACTTAAAGCTTTCTCCATTTTCATTGGACTTTGTTTTGGCTCATCATAGCTGCCATTTTGATTGAAAAGTCTCCCATTCTGTCTTCGCTTCTTCCACGTAGTTTGAATTACCTCAATGTCAAACACCAATCTCACCACCCACTAGGAACATAATCAGGATTTTGCCAAAAATCCACCACATAATTCTTATATTCAATTTTGATCCACTTGAAAAGAGAGAAAAAGCCCTTACTTTTGTATCTTTTTTAAAGAAAGAGAGATGCTAAGACAGTGAAGGAGAAGATGAAGAGAGAAAAAATATATCTTGCATAAACCCCAGCTTTTGTATCTATTTTGAAGACGATGTGGACAGAGGCGTGGAAATGCTGATGTAGATAAGAGGTATTTTTTCATATAAAATTTTAAAAATAAAAATTTGAACCAGATCCTACAACATTTGGGCTTGAGAACAATTGACAAAAAAAGTCCGATAAATATACTTGGCACAAATTTTCCGCTTTCCTTGCACCAAACTTGGAGAAATGGTAACCCCAAAGGATAGCTCAAATAGAAACAGGGACAAATTCTAAATTCATATATTCTAAGTCTAAAATTTGACAACCCCTTAGGGTCAGCCTCTTGGGCGTCGGCACAGTTTGGTTAATAGAACAAAAACCTGGATGAACCGTATCCAAACTTTGAGTGTGGACTCGAATTCCTATCAACTGTGCGAGTTCTAATTGACTATTGCACATCTTGAGAGGTCAATGCGTGTGACACTTTTCAAATAGGAATTACCTCCCGGAAGGGACTAGGTTTAGCTTTGGGAGATATTCCTCCGAATTAACCTTGGAGAAATGGTATTGAAGTTTTTCTCCTCCTCTTTTATTAACCTATGCCTCAGTCAGAGGATAAAAGTAGAGCTGGGAATTCTACACCTGACTCAAACTCGGTAAGAAACAAACAGAGAGTTAGCCTTATTGGATTTGGGTGTTAAGCAAGTCAATCTGTCGAAATAAATTAGTCAAGATGAACCCGATTAAACACAACGTATACACTATAAAAATCCAACTACACACTAATTTATAATAGATTAGTCATGAGACGAACAAATTTTAACACAACAAAACTTACACAGTTTGATAATATGATACAGTACTACCCAATGGCATCTCTATTAAAACCCCAGGAAGTCCTCAGAGTGAGCATGCAACCAAAGTGCATGTGAGGCCTGCCTTAGATTAAACCGGATTCGAGAGAGAATCATTTGTCTCTAAATCCTAAACTCCAAACATAATCCTATACCCACGGGACATCTTGAGAATCTTTGTAGTATGAAGCTTTTAGAGAGAACGAGAGGTACAAAAAAGTGGTCAAGAAAATTGTTAGCCATATATGGTATTCATGTACTTGTTTTTCTTCCAATTTATGCCAAGGCCTGTTAGTACCAAGCTGCCTCTTCCACAAGTACAACAGAGGCAAATTTCTACTGCTTGCAGTTCAAGAAGGGGAGGGGGTCTAACATGAGCTGACCAATACAGTCAAAAGATCATGAGCGCATCACAGGACAAGAAGCCTCGGGGAAAAAATCTTGGACAAAGAACTACGATGGTTTATAGAGCCTGTGAGTGTGTAACACAATCCAGAATTACATGTCCCATGTCCTGTATATCCACAACCGCAAAATAAAACTAGGAACTCATGTCAGTCTTGCAAATTTTTCCACAAGAATACCATCCACACACCACATTTGATTGTGTTGGATAATCAAAACATAGGTCCAAACAGGCTCAAAAACAGAGTACAAAAACATAGAGCAAGAAAATAAACAGCACCATCCATAAAAGAAAAAACCATCTTGGACGGTTACAAAAAAAAAACAGCTCAATCTCATACATGCCCGACGTTCCTCAAGCTTATTCAACCAGTCAACTAACACAAGTCAAAAGGAGATATAAAGAGAAGAAGCCTACCACCATGCCCTAGAGTAAAGGCATTCTAAACCATGCAGTCACGAACTCTCAAAAATGAAACAGAAAAACCAGTAGAAATCAATACTTAACTAGTACTTGTAGTCCTTGACATGGAGGCTCTCTGCGGCACCCTCACTAAGTGCCCCACCACCCTGGTATTTTCCAAGGGTAGCCTCGGAATTGGCCTTGCACCTGGTCAGGAATGCAGCCTGTGCCTTCTCAACGTTTTCCTCCTTTCCTGCCCAAGCCTTGAGGGTGCTCTGCTGAAGAGCACGGCCAAAAGAGAAAGAGAGAGACCATGGCTTCTTTGTCTTGAGTTTGTTCATGGCATTAAGATTGACTGTAGCCTGCTCCTCACTCTGGCCACCAGACAAAAACACCACAGCTGGAACTGCAGGAGGCATGGTGCGCTGCAGAGCACGAACTGTATACTCGGCAATCACCTCAGGTGCTACTTTAGGGGCATCCGATCCAGGGGTAACCATGTTGGGCTTCAAAAGGGTTCCCTCAAGCAAGACATGGTGGTCGTTGAGTGCCTTGTAGCATGCAGCAAGGACACGTTCTGTAACATCAGCACACTTTTCGATGTCATGAGATCCGTCCACAAGAATCTCAGGCTCAACAATGGGGACCAAGCCATTCTCCTGGCAGATGCAGGCATATCGAGCTAAGCCGTTGGCATTTTCATTAATAGCCAACTGAGATGGCTCATTAGGGCCAATCTTGAGCACAGCACGCCATTTGGCAAACCTAGCCCCAGCTGAATAGTACTGCTGGCAACGCTGAGCAAGGCCATCAAGACCTTGGGTGGTGGTCTCACCATTGGTACCCGCAAGCTCAACAGTGCCCTTGTCAACTTTAATTCCAGGGAGGACTCCACCTTCCTTTAACACATCAACAAAGGGCTTACCTGCACACCCCACAATCAATAGGGCCAGATCCATGTCAAGAACCAACCAACAACATATTCCGCACAAAAATAAAGCATATAAGAGGAGATTCATATAAAAATCTCTCAATTATTTAGAGAAAGTCAGAAAATAATAATTAGATATCAATATCTAATTATATGTTGTATATGCCAAAGAGCTGCATATGGTCTAATGAAAGCCTGTTAAGAAAAATAAACATAAGAATTTTATAACATGAACCTGCAGCAGTCTTCTGATAGAGAGTTTCCTCGAAAAGAATAACGCCACTGAGGTACTGAAGGGCACCAGGAGTGCAGAAGAGAAGCTCGCGAAGAGCCCGCCTGTTTGCCTCGACATTCTCAACATTAATGCTTGAAAGACGCTTGCCAATTGTGCCAGTTGACTCATCAGCAGCAAGGATACCCTTGCCAGGGGTACCAATGTAAGTAGCATTGGCAATAAGCTCTTCTGCAAAGGATGAGAGTTTCAGCATTTGTTTTAAACCAAAAAAGAATTAAATTAGAGATAGTATTCTCTAAAATACAAGTGATATTAATCCAACAATGCCCATTATAAACCACCACAAAGGATGAGGGTCACAGTTGAAATTTGTCTGAGAATTTATCATAGGCAGAGAGGAGGAGATAATTAAAAAGGGAAATAAAGCAACGATTGAAATATATAATAAACACAGAACCTACAATGAAGAATGAAAATAAATCTCAATTATCATAATAAACTCTTGAGACATCTGCTAACCAGAAGGTCTACAATGTAAAAGAAAGCACAATTATCTTAAATATTTCCAAAAACTTTTTACACTACCCAATCAAGCTTCATAAAACATGCTGGGGCTGAACTTGTACCAATGCAACTCTACAATCACAGCAAAGGTGCCAATAAATGAGGTTTTCAACAGAGGCAAAGCGCAGAACTCAAGAATTCAATTAGAAAAAATCATTAAACTGAAGGTATGATATCACAAAATAAATCACATCCTAAACGAAACAAAAGTGGAGATGCATCTAATGACATAACAATAGAAAATAAGACTAAAGTAGAAAAGATAGGAAATGGAAATATTTAAAATTAGTAGTAGAGTTCTAAAAAAAGTAGTAGGGTTTTAAAATGCTAAACATGAGGATTTCAATGTACCTCACTCTAACCAAAGACATACCCAGTTACTTCCAAAGTACAGAAATATATATGGAAAAAATAAATCTGGCAGTCACTTAAAAAAACTACCAAGGTTAGCAAACCCGAAAATAAACCCAAGAATCATTTGTCGTAATACCCTTATTCAATCACAAAATTTTAACCCCAATCAAGCTTTCTCAGTGTTTCACATGTTATGCCTATGGGGTCACTCTTTAAAATCAAAACGTCTTCGAAAAAGGCAAATAAGTAAGATCAGATTTTTACAAACCTAATTCATTCATCATTTTTTAAAAGCCAGAGNCAATTACAAAGAGTAGCAGCATGTTATGCCTATGGAGTCACTCTTTAAAATCAAAACGTCTTCGAAAAAGGCAAATAAGTAAGATCAGATTTTTACAAACCTAATTCATTCATCATTTTCTAAAAGCCAGAGGAATCAACCAACCAAACAAACACAAAAAAGATCGCAACGGATACAAAGATCTATAGACCATGGCAAAAGTTAAGCTAAACCTTCCNATGTTATGCCTATGGGGTCACTCTTTAAAATCAAAACGTCTTCGAAAAAGGCAAATAAGTAAGATCAGATTTTTACAAACCTAATTCATTCATCATTTTTTAAAAGCCAGAGGAATCAACCAACCAAACAAACACAAAACAGATCGCAACGGATACAAAGATCTATAGACCATGGCAAAAGTTAAGCTAAACCTTCCACAGATTAAAAATTCCAATTTGTACAAATTTTACAGGCAACAGAACTGAAGCAACTGTCGGTTTCGGAAATTATTAAATAATCGTAAAAATTGCAACCACTACAATAGTAACATAACAAGTCTAGAAAAACCAATTATTTCTCTCTTTAATTTCTCTCTCCTTGTAAGAAGATCAATCATATATGATCTGAGACAGATCAGTGCAATTAGTAATATCAGGGTCACCCAAATGCACTTATAATNCCTTGAAAGAAGATCAATCATATATGATCTGAGACAGATCAGAGCAATTAGTAATATCAGGGTCACCCAAATGCACATATAATCAAACTTAATCAATAAACAACATTTCTACACTAAAAGACCCAGATCTAAAAAGGAACGAAACAAGGAAAAATAGAGCAAACCCAGATCAGAAATTCTAAAAATTGAAACACCCAGATGATGTATNTTAATTTCTCTCTCCTTGTAAGAAGATCAATCATATATGATCTGAGACAGATCAGTGCAATTAGTAATATCAGGGTCACCCAAATGCACTTATAATCAAACTTAATCAATAAACAACATTTCTACACTAAAAGACCCAGATCTAAAAAGGAACGAAACAAGGGAAAATAGAGCAAACCCAGATCAGAAATTCTAAAAATTGAAACACCCAGATGATGTATAAACAACAATATTGCAAATAAGATCTGACTTCCAACATAAGCATGTTGTATCCACAAACGAAAAGAACGAAAACAACCGAAAACGAAGGATAGAAAAGAAGGGAATACCAGTGTATTTTCCCTTGAAGCAAGACATGATTGGATCGAGAGAGGAGAGAAATTAGAGACGGACAAGTTCAGAGAGAGAGAGAGAGACTGAGGGGAAAGACAAGAGACAGAACTGGGTTGATAGGGTTTTATAATGTGGCCAGAAATGGATGACCATCGATTTTATCGCTTATTTTACCCTTTTGCCCTCTGTCATGGCCCCCTAAACTTTGCTTTTTCAGCCTAAAATTATAAAACCTTTTATTTCTTTCATTTTTTTTTTAATTTTCTCTCCTTTTGAAAGGGAAGTGAAAAGTTTTTTAATTGTTGTTTCCCCCTTTTTTTTTTTCATAGAAGCCAATAACTTTTCTATAAACTCAGGAATCTTTGGACTAATTTACGCACAACTCAATTAACTTATCTCTTGAAACGTCCTGAACTATATCTTTTTGATTACTCTCGATTGAATTAGAAGATTTCAAAAATGTCTTTTTGATTCAATATCATTTTTAAAATAATTTTATCTCCAATTTTTCAAGAATCGGAGAATTTTCTAATTCCCTTTAAATGGCGAGAATATACACACATAAGTATATTCAGTTAATTCAAATGGTATTATAAACTTCTAAAATTTAAAATCAAATACATTCATTGTTATGTACAAATCTCAATCATTAAAAGAGAATTAGAGGATCGAAAGAGGAGGAGAGTCAAACACGCTTCCTCATTTATATGGAATTGAAGGATCCTCCAATTATTTTGAAATTAAAATAACGTAATCCATTTAGCACAATATTTCTTCGTGACAACCAACTTTCCAGGTAGTAATTAAAGGCAAAAATAAGGAAACTTTCAGTACCTTTAGACCAAAACAACACAACATACATGGTGTGACTAAATTGGTGGGTAGGAGGGGTCAAACTCAAAACAAGAGGAGAGACGGCCCACCTTACAAAGTTGTTTTACTTGAGCAATCTCACCCATGAAAATCCTGTGGGGTGGAGCAACTTGTGCTACAGTTGTACAAAAAAAGTTAGATGGGTGACAGTGAAAACTACTCTGGAGACCCACCTAAAACAGCGGGTTAGGTTGATGGTTTCTAACTTCGGATTTTGAAGGACCTTTGGATTAGGTAGCAACACTTTTTGCCCCCACATCTGGTTTTTTGTAAACCCCCTTACATTTTCTCTTTTTTCCTCCTTTAAAATCTTTATTTTAGAATTATCTGGTTTTATTTGAGTGATAAAGTGTCATATATTTATTATTTGTTGTCGTAATTACTATTTGTGATGATTATTGCCGTTACAAAGATTTTTTGAGACTCCACTTATTATAACGAGATATGTCATCACAACGCCTTACCGTAACAAGTCTCACAAAAATCTTTGTGGCAACAACAATCAATGTCAAATAGTATTTACAGAAGCAAATAAACTTTTTATGACAATATTATTGTCAAAAAAAAAAATTTCTAAAACACGTTTTTTGTGACAGTGAACATTGTCACCATGAAAANATATATTTATTATTTGTTGTCGTAATTACCATTTGTGATGATTATTGTCGTTACAAAGATTTTTTGAGACTCCACTTATTATAGCGAGATATGTCATCACAACGCTTTACCGTAGCAAGTCTCACAAAAATCTTTGTGGCAACAACAATCAATGTCAAATAGTATTTACAGAAGCAAATAAACTTTTTATGATAATATTATTGTCAAAAAAAAAATTTCTAAAACACGTTTTTTGTGACAGTGAACATTGTCACCATGAAAAACTTATCTCAAAAGACTTTAATTATTGTAGTGACATTATGCCAAATAACGTCGAGAATCTATAATTATAATGTCATGAATATTATTCATACAAACATTGTTGTCCTTATCAAAAAAATTTATCACATTTTCTATGCTAAATTAACTTAAATGATTTATTAATATGACTTTCTACTGATCCAATTATTCGATTTAATTTGGTATAGAAAATTTACTAATTATTTTTTTTTGTGGTGCACACATCCTTGATTTATATTTACAACATAGATGCTTTCNGATCACTAAATTCCATTAATTTTTATTAATACGACTTTCTACTGATCCAATTATTCGATTTAATTTGGTATAGAAAATTTACTAATTATTTTTTTTTGTGGTGCACACATCCTTGATTTATATTTACAACATAGATGCTTTCNTATTAATATGACTTTCTACTGATCCAATTATTCGATTTAATTTGGTATAGAAAATTTACTAATTATTTTTTTTTGTGGTGCACACATCCTTGATTTATATTTACAACNATTTTTTTTTGTGGTGCACACATCCTTGATTTATATTTACAACATAGATGCTTTCTGCACACAATGGCCTTTATAAACCCTCTACATTGTTTTCATTCTTCCAATTTCATTACACAATTTTGCAAAGAATGATTGGTTTCTATGATTTGTATTTTTACCAACGAATGATAACACTACAATAGTTGGAAAAAAATTAATATTGTATCGAAAATTATTATTTTTAAATGTCAAGTTATATATTTTGTTATAAGTGAAGTTAAATCTGATTGTGGTTATTAATTATTGATTATGAAATGTAGTGAACGATCATGAATAACCTCACTTAAATGTATCTTTACTTTTAAAAAGTATGTAACTTGGTCTTTAAAAATTATACTTTTTGTAATCAATCATAACAATTTTGGATTAGTTATATCTTTTACAATTGTAACTTACATCATAAAATTTTATAATTTGACTTGAAAAAAATTATAATTTCTCCAGCAATAATATATATATATAATATAATATAAAATAGAGTAGTTTTCAATAAATTTTTTNTTATAATTTGACTTGAAAAAAATTATAATTTCTCCAGCAATAATATATATATATATATAAAATATAATATAAAATAGAGTAGGTTTCAATAAATTTTTTTAACAATTTCAAATAGACTAATTCATCGTCCACTAATATTCCTCTCAAGACTTTAATATCTAATTGAACCTGTACATTCAGACACGCGTGACTTCTAGTATGTGATTATAACTAGACATGTTAATCGTATCGAGTTTTAGTGGGTTTGTGTTAAAAAATATTTCACANACTTTAATATCTAATTGAACCTGTACATTCAGACACGCGTGACTTCTAGTATGTGATTATAACTAGACATGTTAATCGTATCGAGTTTTAGTGGGTTTGTGTTAAAAAATATTTCACACATACTCGAGTCGTTTATTAATTTGTGTAATCATGTCATATCAAATTCTAGTAGTATATAAATCGTGTATAACCAATACATAAACGAGTTGTATTGTGTATTTTTTTTTATTGACGTCACTCGTACCTGATCTATTTATTTATCGTGTCGGGTTAAGTTCATTCATCCACAAAATGAGTGATTTAAAAAAAAATCAAATTTTTTAATTTTATGTTATATTAATAAATTTATATAATAAAATACATAAAAAGTTGAATTTTATCTCATACACATTTTTCCCCCTAAAATCATCATATCACTTATTCACATATTTAATTATTTAATATTTGATTAATTTTTTATTTAATATAATTTTTTTTCAAGCATTATTCATACACGATAATATACACATGTCGAGAAAATTTTATCGAATTACATATTTTGAGAAAATTTTGTCAATATTTGTAAGAAAATAATGAATAAAAATAAATTTTGAATGATATAATCAAATAAATTAATAAAAAATATTATTTAATATAAAAAAATCAATTTTTGAAAACTTGAATTTTGTATTGTATTATGGTTAGTTATGTCTGATTTTATTATATTTTAACACTCCCAATTATAACTGCAAATTACAAAACAAATTTTCGCTGAAAAGGAAAGTTGCTTATGGATAGGGGTGTTCACCCTACCCTACGTGTAGAAAGTATAGTTTTTCGTTTTCCTACCCGATACTTTGCAGAATAATTTTTTCTTGGCCTATCCTACCCGATCAGGTATAGTATTCCTACCTGACTTCCTATCCGATTAATCGGGTAGGAAGGCGAATAGAAAATTCGATAAACACTTTTGTAACTATTAATTTTTGAATCATTTTAATAATGCAATTAAATAATATGAACAAATTTAACAATACAATAAATCAATAACACTAAAACCTAAAACCTAAAACATAAAACAACTACAACAACAATTACAATAAAAAACAAGAAAGTATGAACATCAATTCATTATAATTATTACACAAATACAATAACAATTATTTTAAATTTGAACCATATGAAACACATTAAAATTATAACTGCTCCAATAGATCATCAGTTTACCACAAATCATGTAATTTACACAAAAAATAAGTTTATGTTTTAGTAAGTTAAACATCTACAACAATAACAACGTTATGATATAAATTATACCATATAAATACTCTTATAATTATTAAAAAAATTTAAAAATTTTAAATATATTTTTTGCAAGTAGGATAAAGTAGGAATACGAATATTAATGAGTATCTTTCATTCCTATCCGATTTAATAAAAAAATTAAAAAAATTTCTGTATTTTTATCCAATTTTTACGATTAGTCATTCAATAGAATAGAACAAAGTCGAATAATATATAAAATTACGATGAATCAAAAATTTGAACAAACGGATGACGGAAAACACTGAATTACGCGACGGAAAAAGATGCTCTGCGCACGCGATACTTGAAATAAAAATAGTTAAAAAAGTCAATTCTTGAACTGATGCATGCATTGGGTTTGCGCATGATCTTATATTTCACCTACCTGTCCCTTCAAGACTGAATATGATGTTACCGGTTGGTAGGATCAAATATATTGATGATATACAAAAAGTGAATTTATGTATCACATGTCGAATAATTAATATATGTAATAAATGTAATANTATTGATGATATACAAAAAGTGAATTTATGTATCACATGTCGAATAATTAATATATGTAATAAATGTAATAAAAATAAGGTGAGATCAACACAGTCAACATATAGATGTATATTAGTTCAATCAGGGTGACCTATCCCACTTTCTAAAAAAACAAAGGTGGTCAAAGACTTTTATTAATAAAATAAGATAAGAGAGACATCAAGAGTATCCTCATAGTGTGCTGAGATAGTTATGAGAGAGATAATTGTGTGTGAGATGTAAAAATATCTCCCTCATGTGTAAATGTCTTACAATTTAAACACAGAATCTTAATTGAGGTGGTGGCGTAGAAGAAAAGTTATTAGTCCTTCAAAAAGGATAGTTATAACTTCCGGTTAAGGATAAGTACAAGCATAGATAGTCTTCATTTAGGAGAGTGACTATCCTGATAATTGTTTTCACGTGCTCTAATATTCCTAGATTCCTTAAACTTTAGGCTGGACCGAATCTATGAATTAGGCTGGACTTGTTTTGTGACTGATTTAGGCTTACTCCACGAATTGGGTCTCAACGTAATTAAATTTAGGCCCATCATATATTATGCCCATTATTAGAACTTTTGGGTTTTAATATATAACTTTTTTTTCAAATTTTTAAATATTTATAATCATTTGTAAATTACAAGAATCCATTAAGCTCGATGAGTTATCACTCATAGCACATGAAAATTCTTAGCATTTTGTTTTTGTTTAAATGTTCTAAGCATATTCGGTCAACTCGATACTNAAAATGTTCTAAGCATATTCGGTCAACTCGATACTAAATTGATATTAAACTATCATTATGAGTTTAGCATTATTGATGGCATGCTATACTTGGGTTGACTATCCTAAAAAAAGGTTGTGTATTAATTGAGTCAATTTAAATACAATATAAATTTGACATAGCACGAGACGTTTTAATTCAACTTACAACTAGATGTGAGTTTCTTTGTTGTGAGTTTAGTCTAATAGATTCGAATCTTAATCACATTGACTCNCACGAGACGTTTTAATTCAACTTACAACTAGATGTGAGTTTCTTTGTTGTGAGTTTAGTCTAATAGATTCGAATCTTAATCACATTGACTCGTGAAACTTACTTGTTACATGGATGATGTATTAGTTAAATTAACTTTGTCATAACACAACCTGCATGAACCACACATAGGATAGACGCAATTTATTTTTAATTTTAATATTAAAAAAAATTAAATTGCATAAGTTAAACCAACTACTCACGAAAAACATGACAATTTTTTTTTCTCAAAAAAGAATAATTATTTAAAATATATTTTTTATAATTACTTGATAAATTATTTACCATACATTAATGGGGTAATTTTTAAATACAATGAATTCACCAAAAATGAATCATTATAATTCTTGCCAAATTTTAGATGACAAATAGTGTGACATGTTAATGGTCATTAATGCAAAAGAAAAATGTTATTGGANAATTTTAGATGACAAATAGTGTGACATGTTAATGGTCATTAATGCAAAAGAAAAATGTTATTGGAACATAATTTGATAACTTAATAATTGTGGTCATTAGATTGTCAGTGGGTCAAAACATTAATGTATCACTGGGTCCCAATATTATCAATCTAATAATTATAATGCATTAAGTCGCTAAATTATACCCCAATAACATTAGTGAANGACATAATTTGAGAACTTAATAATTGTGGTCATTAGATTGTCAGTGGGTCAAAACATTAATGTATCACTGAGTCCCAATATTATCAATCTAATAATTATAATGCATTAAGTCGCTAAATTATACCCCAATAACATTAGTGAATGAGAGATAATGAAATTCAATCAACTGATAGTATAGATATTGAAAGGCTCCCAACTCTATGAAATATATATTTAAAAAAAATAAATAAATTGTTGAGAGTGGGATTTGAACCCACGCCCTTTCGGACCAGAACCTTAATCTGGCGCCTTAGACCAACTCGGCCATCTCAACTTGATTGTTTGCAGTCATTAATTATATATAATTTAAACATTAACTTATCTAACAGTAACAATTCTCATCCTCCCCCTCTTTTTTTGGTNGATTGTTTGCAGTCATTAATTATATATAATTTAAACATTAACTTATCTAACAGTAACAATTCTCATTCTCCCCCTCTTTTTTTGGTTTTTTCTACCAGTTCAAGTAGCTAACTTAACGTGCTGAAAGTTCCAAAAAATAACAAAATTGGTGATGTAGAACTTTATAAAAATCTGGTAAGTGTTTAGGACTTGATTAGTCAAAATTTTTTTGGTACCATACCTCTAAAATTTACTACTTCAAAGATTGTTTTTATAATTTTTGTAGGTTATTTTATAACAAAAAAAACACACCATGGTTGATTTATTACTTTGNTGAAAAGGAAAGTTGCTTATGGATAGGGGTGTTCACCCTACCCTACGTGTAGAAAATATAGTTTTTCGTTTTCCTACCCGATACTTTGTAAAATAATTTTTTCTTGGCCTATCCTACCCGATCAGGTATAGTATTCCTACCTGACTTCCTATCCGATTAATCGGGTAGGAAGTCGAATAGAAAATTCGATAAACACTTTTGTAACTATTAATTTTTGAATCATTTTAATAATTCAATTAAATAATATGAACAAATTTAACAATACAATAAATCAATAACACTAAAACCTAAAACATAAAACAACTACAACAATAATTACAATAAAAAACAAGAAAGTATGAACATCAATTCATTATAATTATTACACAAATACAATAACAATTATTTTAAATTTGAACCATATGAAACACATTAAAATTATAATTGCTCCAATAGATCATCAGTTTACCACAAATCATGTAATTTACACAAAAAATAAGTTTATGTTTTAGCAAGTTAAACATCTACAACAATAACAACGTTATGATATAAATTATACCATATAAATACTCTTATAATTATTAAAAAAATTTAAAAATTTTAAATATATTTTTTGCAAGTAGGATAAAGTAGGAATACGAATATTAATGAGTATCTTTCATTCCTATCCGATTTAATAAAAAAATTAAAAAAATTTCTGTATTTTTATCCAATTTTTACGATTAGTCATTCAATAGAATAGAACAAAGTCGAATAATATATAAAATTACGATGAATCAAAAATTTGAACAAACGGATGACGGAAAACACTGAATTACGCGACGGAAAAAGATGCTCTGCGCACGCGATACTTGAAATAAAAATAGTTAAAAAAGTCAATTCTTGAACTGATGCATGCATTGGGTTTGCGCATGATCTTATATTTCACCTACCTGTCCCTTCAAGACTGAATATGATGTTACCGGTTGGTAGGATCAAATATATTGATGATATACAAAAAGTGAATTTATGTATCACATGTCGAATAATTAATATATGTAATAAATGTAATAAAAATAAGGTGAGATCAACACAGTCAACATATAGATGTATATTAGTTCAATCAGGGTGACCTATCCCACTTTCTAAAAAAACAAAGGTGGTCAAAGACTTTTATTAATAAAATAAGATAAGAGAGACATCAAGAGTATCCTCATAGTGTGCTGAGATAGTTATGAGAGAGATAATTGTGTGTGAGATGTAAAA